GGTAGAATTGATACTATTTCTTCCATAAATGCTTGAAAAAAAATTCACTAGCGAAGCTATCTGAACTTCTAGTTTTCTTTATGGGAAGATTTTTAAGTATAAATTTAATTTTCATAACTGATATGGGGCTCCTCAAATTCTCCATTTTTTTTCGGGTCAGTTTTGGTAATTTGTGTCTCTTGGTGAAGATGTCCATTTCATCTAAGTTGCTAGATTCATTGGCATAAAGTTGTCCTGTTATTATCCTTTTAAAATGTCTGAAGGATAATAATAAATCCTCCTTTAATCTTGATGTTGGTAATTTGTCTTGATTGTCTTAGCTAGGGTTTTATCAGTTTTATTTGAAAAGACTAGTATTTTGCGTTCAATGATTTTCTCTGTCCACTTTGTAGTTCACTGATTTCTGCTCCTGACAATTTTCTTCCTTCTCTTTATATTGAGTTTATGTTGCTCTTCTTTTTGTAGCTTCCCTAACATGAGCATTTAGATCATTAATTTTAGGTCTTTTTACTTTTCCAATGTGAACATTTAATGTTGTAAACTGGCCTCCAAGCACTGCTTTCCCCAAATCCCACAAAGTTTGACATGCTGCATTTTCACAAAAGTTCAGGGCAAAATGTTTCCTAACTCCCTTTGTGATTTCTTCTTTGATTCACAAACCATTTCAAGCCATTTTAGAAGTATGTTGCTTAATTTCAAACATTTGAGGATTTCCTAGTCATCCTATTCTCAACTGATCTCTAACTTAATTCTACTTTTTAAGTCAGAGAACATATCTTGTATGATTTCAATGTTTAAAAATATACTGAGGCTTGTTTCATCGTCCAGCCCTTAGTTTATCCTATTGAACACTTCAAATACACTTGGAAAGAACATGCATTTTGCAGTTGTGAGTGTATAGGACAGAATGGCTGATGGTGGTGTTCAGATTATCTCCATCTTTGCTGATATTTTACGTAGCTGCTCTATCAATTATTTGAGAGGGTTGTTAAAGTCTCCATCTATGGTACATAGACATTTATAAGCTTTGCGCAGTAGCAGTATCATAGCCAATGAGGTTTATCCAAGGCACGATTATTGCTATGGTACATAGACATTTATGATTTTTATACCTTCCTGATGAATTGACCTTTAAAAAAATCACTGTACAGTGTAATAATCCTACCAACACAGGTGTTATTTTCCAAATACCTTTTAGTTCTCCCTTCTAATCACTTTAAATTCTCGGGGCGCCTGGGTGGCTCAGTCGGTTAAGCATCTGACTTCAGTTCAGGTCATGATCTCACGGTCTGTGGGTTTGAGCCCCGCGTCGGGCTCTGTGCTGACAGCTCAGAGCCTGGAGCCTGTTTCAGTTTCTGTATCTGTCTCTCTCTCTGACCCTCCCCTGCTCACGCTCTCTCTCTCTCTCTCTCAGAAATAAATAAAACATTTAAAAAAATTTTTTAAATAAATTCTCTACAATTCCACTTGGGTTTGAACTTCAAAGGCTGTAGACCTCTCCACGCCCTTCCCACTGGTAGTGAGATGCCGCCATGTCCCCCCAGCTCTCACACAGAAGATCCTGGAAGGTTTTAACTCCATAATAAAGGAAGACTGGTTTGGTAACCTGTATGTCAATATAATTTATATTAACTCTTCTCACAGCTATTGGGTTTTTCGATATTTCAAACAGGTAGAGATTATTTGGGGCAAGTTGTTAATTGTAAAACATAAAGTAGAGGGATCAATGCTGAGTGATTTTTAAATGATCTATTTCAAGAGAAACATCAGCTCTCATTTCGCTCTTCAGGAAATGAGGGACTGAGATTTAGTATGTATCTATACTAAAATTCAAGTAAATGGCAACTAGAGAACTAAACATAGATTTTGGTGTGGGTTGTTTGTTCTTGAGAGAGACAGAGAGAGAGAGAGAGAGCGAGCGAGCATGCACAAGTGGGGGAAGGGGCACAGGGAGAAAGAGAACCCCAAGCCGGCTCCACACTCAGCACAGAGCCCAATGCAGGGCTTGATCTGAAGACCACAAGATCATGACCTGAGCCAAAGTCAAGAGTCAGGCGCTTAACCAACTGAGCCACCCAGGTGCCCTTCGACGTGCACAAGAATTTTAGAGCATGGTCACAGTACTGCATTTTTAACATGACTGCATTTGAAAGCAAATGAAGCAGAAATAATTTCATTTCTGAAACCATTACAAAGCATGTATCAATTCAACATTCACCCCTGCCCACCTGCTATTTGGAGCTTTGGGGGGTCTTCTAATGTATTTGATAACTACAAATATCTATGTGGTTTTTTTCCCCTCAATTATTTGGGAAACTTAAAAAAGTGTAGTCACACCCAAAGCTTCTTAAGCATCTTGCTATAATTTAATCTGAACAAACTGTTGTGCAGAAAAACACTGGTAGGGTTTAGACAGCATATTGCTATAATTCGAAAGCTTCTTAAGCATCTTGCTATAATTTAATCCGAATAAACTGTTGCACACAAATACAGAAAAACATATGTAGGGCTTAGACAGCATGGCAATCCCTCTTGGTCCAACTGTTTGAAACGTGTAATTTTCAAAGGCTGTCGATGCACCTAAGCAAAGGGCAAAGACAGAATAAAATTGTCTGCTGTGATTAACTGCCAAAACCCACAGGGTCATTTCAGTAACGAGCCGCCTAAGAGCAAACCAACCCAAATACACCCTGAGTGCCCAGCAGGGAACAGCTGATTCCTTGCAGTGATCAGATTTAACTCTCATAAAGCCACTTTGCTATTGTCACGTTCTTTCCACAGATGTGGAGCCAGGCTTTGAAAGAGGATGCCACTCAGCCAAGGCCACACAGCTGTTAACTGGTAACTTTGAGGTTTGCATGTAGACCTCCTGACACTCACTACTTGTGGCGTCTGCTCTACTTTGCCAGAAAAAACTTACAGATCAACAGTTGGCAAACTCTTCCTGGAAAGGGCCAGACAGCAAATATTTTAAGCTTTGCAAACCATATGGTCTCTGTCACAAGGACCGAACTCCACTCTTGCAGTGAGAAAACAGCCCCAGACGATATGTAAATAAACGAGTTTAGCTGTTTTCCAATAAAACTTTATTTACAACAACAGGGATTGGGATTTGCAGACACCCCCCCCCCCCAAGTCTCCATTAAGGATTGAAACATACAAACAAACCATCAAGGAATCAGGTGCTAAAGGTTCTGCTTCTCTATCTTTCCGGGGCCATTTTTCATTACCGCTCCATGTACTCTCCTGAATTAGATGCAAGCATTACGATTTCACTGTAAATTCATCTTCCAGTCCCTCACTGCTCCACAACGCCAACTTGCCTTTCCTGAGCACAGATGCTAGCTTTGTCAATAAACGCTGTCAAGCAGCGATCAACACCATTTTTTTAAAATGCGAGAACAACTCGAGGAAAAATAAGGTTTTTTTCCCTCCCCCTGAGTAAAAATAGCCTTATTGGGTCCCCAAATGGAAAACCAAGGTAAAGATGTTGTGCTTTACTGAATATGTTTAAATACTAATGAAAAACTGGCACTGCTTTTTAGTTACCGAGACGCTAAGAGGTGGGTAAACACCTAATCTTCCATCCCTTAACTTTATATAGTGCTTTAGGATTCAAATACGTCATTCCACTTATCTTTGAACTATGTGTTTTTGGGGCATCTGGGGGGCTCAGTCAGTTGGGCAAACGACTTCGGCTCAGGTCATGATCTCACGGTTTGTGGGTTCGAGCCCCGCATCAGGCTCTGTGCTGACGGCTCAGGGCCTGGAGCCTGCTTCAGATTCTGTGTCTCCCTCTCTCTATGACCCTCCCCTGCTCATGCTGTCTCTCTCTCTCTCAGAAATAAATAAAACATTTTTTAAAAAATGAAGTACGTGTTATCATGGAGAAACTGACACAGAGGTTAAGGGACTCACCGTGGGTCTGTGCTGTGTGCGCACACGGAATAAGGAAATCCACAAAACCGTACTTCCTTGCCTTTTCCGTTTCCTCCTGCTCGGGCCTGGCCTCCATGCAGACCCACATACCCACAAAAGCAGTTCTGGAAAGGTTCTTCTCATGGGGGTGGGGGCAGGGCAGGGAGCTTTGTTCCCTGCAGGCCCCCACTATGTTGAACTGAGAGCCGCCTGTGAAAGTCAGAGCAGACACTTTGCTGGAAAACCAAGCAGGGGACGAAGCTCTCCGGTCGTGGGCCACTCATCACTGCTTTACGGGGTACTTCTCTCCAGGGACTCATCTATAATGTTACAAATAACCAGTTTCCAAATTCTTAGACTGTTTGGTCAATGTCAAGTTAGTTCCTATTATTGTGTTCACTGCATGTTCGGAAAGTTGGTTTTATTTCCCCCAAATAAATATAAATTTCTTACAGACTCTGTTTCCATTTCTATCTCCTCTGAAGTGACATCATTCAGGATACTCCTTGCCAGTGTCAGTACCCTCTCTGCATAGTCAGTCCCCTGGGTCTGTCTGCTGGCCTTTCTTCAACTAATTTTAAATAGCAGAAATAAGGGGCGCCTGGGTGGCTCAGTTGCTTAAGCATCTGACTTCGGCTGAGGTCATGGTCTCCCAGTTCATGGGTTTGAGCCCCAAGTCGGGATCTCTGTGCTGACAGCTCAGAGCCTGGAGCCTGCTTTGGACTCTGTGTGTGTGTGTGTGTGTGTGTGTGTGTGTGTGTGTGCCCCTTTCCTGCTTGTGTTCTGTCTCTGTCTCTCTCTCAAAAATAAATAAATAAACATTTTTTTAAAAAGAGTATAAACAATATAAAGTGGGCTCCCTACTTGAGCCATCACATTACTCGGTCAAAGCCATTTCTTCCAGATCTGATACTAGTTTTCTCAGACCCTGTTGGCTGGCTGTTCCGTAAAGCTGCCCGAATGCTTCCACCAAGCACTCTCATTAGTTTAGGACATGCTTAGTTGCAGGTAAAAGTTTTTGAGCACCAGGAGCAGCCCCAGCACGGAGCCCGCGGCACGCAGCCTTACCCAGGTCTGCTTACCTCCGCAATCAGGTCATGTAGCTCTCCTTCACTCGGGCAGCACCCTAGCGACCTGACAATCGTTCCGATCTCTCTGCGGAGAAAGTGGGCAACAGTCTGAGAATATATACTTTGAAAAGCAAGTGCTGTGTTTCTCTAAACAAGGTCAGGGCAGATGCAGCACCAAGGTCACACAATTAAGTCCTGCCTCTTGTGGATAGAAGACACTCTCCAGGGGAGGGAAAAGGCAGACAAATGAACCAAAGGGAAAAGAAAGAAGTGTTTGTGTTGATTAGCTTGAACACAAATCAGAAGTCCTAGGAAACATAAAGGGGGGGGGGGTGGGTAAGAAAAAGAAATGTCAGCCACTTATTAGCTGATTTTAAGTTAACTGTTTCAAACCTCAGTTTCTGCATCTGTAAAATGGGGACAATAATGTCTCCCTCAGAGGTTTGTGTTAAAGTCCACATTAGTGGCAGGATACTGAAAAGCAAGGCACTAATGTCAGATTGCCGGGGTTCGGGTCCGAACTCTGTCACGTGCTAGGTCACGTAGCTTAATCTCTGAGTGCAGAAGTCTACCTGGTCGTTAAAGTGTAATGACCTCGTGCAGATACTTAAAGGGGCCGGGAACACCCTAAGAGAGAAATAATATGAGCTATCATAATATAAAGCAAGCACAGTTCTTCCTTTATATTATGCAAGAACTGTGTATTGAGTGGCATCCACTCAATAAATATTGGTTACGCCCCTGCCCTCCCCATAGTGATGCAACTCAATTCCGCAAATAACCTAAGAAAAGTATAAATTATATTCAGTACTCTCTAGATGTGAAAAGAGAGGATTTGGAATCGATTGTTAAATATTTCCACTTAAAATTGTTAAAATTAAAGGTGTAATATTTGAATGTTAATTTAGTTGAATAAATATTTACTTGACTAGAATATTTTTCTTAAATATTTATTTTGAGAAAGATAGAGAGAGGGAGAGCATGAGTGGGGAGAGGGACAGAGAGTGAGGGAGAGAGAGAGAATCCCAAGCAGGCTCTGAGCTGTCACGCAGAGCCTGATGTGGGGCTCAATCTCCGACATTGAGATCACGACCTGAGCCCAAATCAAGAGTCAGATGCTTAACTAACTGAGCCACCCAGGTGCCCCACTCGATGAGAATATTTAATTCTTTTACCAGCCTGGGTAATAATGGTGGTGTTATACTTACTCCCTATTTTACTGAGAAAACATTTTATTTGTTTTATTTATTTTGAGAGAGAGATCGAGAGAGAGAGACAGAGAGAGGGAGGTAAGGGCAGAGGATCCCAAGCAGGCTCCACTGTCAGTGCAGAGCCCCAAGCCGGGCTCAAACTCATGAACCATTAGATCATGGCCTCACGCTTGAAACCACAAGCGCGCCGAAGCTCGGCGGAAGACCCCACAGACCTGTCTCCTGTGTCCCCCGCCCCCATGCAAACTGGGCCCCGTTAACCCGCCTACCACCTGCCTGGTCGGCTGGGGCGACCAGCCACGTGCCACAGCCTGGGCCCAGCCAGCGGGTGGCTCGACCACCTTCCCTGCATCCTCCCAGGACCGACAGCGAGCGAGCTCTGGGTCTCCCTCTTCCTTTAAGGGCCCTGATGCATCACGGGGGCCCCACTTTCAGGACCACGTCTAGACTTAATCACTTCCCAGAGACCCACCTCTGAGCACCATCACGTGGGGGGTAGGGCCCCATCACAGGAATTGGGGAGGGACACACACATTTGGTGGCAGGCACCCCCATGAAAGGCCGGCCCCTGGACCCCCTCCCTTCCTCTCCCTCTCCGCCTCCGAGGAACTAAAAGGGCTCTTCCTTAATAAAGCTCACCCCTCTCACTTTTCCTTAGTTCCAGGCTTAGCTCTTTTCTTCCCCCCAACAAGTACATACGTCACCCAGAGCTTATCGCGGTGCATGTAGCCTTAATCCCCTGGGTCTTGGCTCCCATTCTGAACACACTTGCGTCCCACTCAGCATCTTCATTTGGTCCTTTACTAGCGGCTTCCTCTTTTGGCCTAAAATATTCAGGTTATCTTCCTTCTTCCTCCTAAGACATTTCTGACAGGTGCCTTACCACCTCCAAGTACTCTCCTTCCGCTTCCTTTGCTACCACAGCCCTTGTTCCAAATTACTGATCTTGGGGGCGCTTGTGTGGTTCTGTCAGTTAAGCAGCTGACTCTCTGATTTTGGCTCAGGTCTCGATCTCATGGTTTGCGGGTTCCAGCCCTACATTGGGCTCCACACTGACAGCATGGAGCCTCCTTGGGATTCTCTGTCTCTCCTTCCCTCTGCCTCTCCCGTGCTCTCATTCTCCCTCTTTTATTTTTTTTTAAATTTTTAATGTTTTATTTATTTCTGAGAGAGAGAGAGAGAGAGAGAGAGAGTAAGCAGGGGAGGGTCAGAGAGAGGGGGAGACACAGAATCTGAAGCAGGCTCCAGGCTCTGAGCTGTCTGAGCTGCACAGAACCCGACGCGGGGCTCGAACCCACGACCGTGAAATCAGGACCTGAGCTGAGGTCGGACGCTTAACCGACTGAGCCACCCAGGTGCCCCATCTCCCTCTTTTAAAATAAATAGCAATCCCTATCAAAACAACACCAGCATTCTTCACAGAGCTAGAACAAGCAATCCTAAAATTTATGTGGGACCAGAAAAGACCCTGAATAGCTAAAGCAATCTTAAAAAAGAAAACCAAGGTTGGAGGCATCACAATCCCGGACTTGAAGCTGTATTACAAAGCTGTAATCATCGAGACAGTATGGTATTGACACAAAAACAGACACTTAGATCAATGGAACAGAATAGAGAAACCCAGAAATGGACCCACAAACATATGGCCAACTAATCTTTGACAAAGCAGGAAAGAAAATCCAATGGCATAAAGACAGTCTCTTCAGCAAATGGTGCTGGGAAAACTGGACAATGACATGCAGAAAAATGAACCTGGACCACTTTCTTATACCATACACAAAAATAAACTCAAATGGATGAAAGACATAAATGTAAGACAGGAAGTCATCAAAATCCTAGAGGAGAAAGTAGGCAAAAACTTTTTTGACCTCACCTGCAGCAACTTCTTACTCAACATATCTCTGGAGGCAAGGGAAACAAAAGCAAAAATGAACTATTGGGACCCCATCAAAATAAAAAGCTTCTGCACAGTGAAGGAAACAATCAGCAAAACTAAAAAGCAACAAATGGAATGGGAGAAGATACTCACAAATGACATATCAGATAAAGGGTTAGTATCCAAAATTTATAAGGAACTTATCAAACTCAACACACAAAAAAATAAATAATCCAGTGAAGAAATGAGCAAAAGACATGAATAGACACTTTTCCAAAGAAACATCCAGATGGCCAACCAACTTGAAAAAATGCTCAACATCCCTCCTCATCAGAGAAATACAAATCAAAACCACAATGAGATACCACCTCACACCTGTCAGAATGGCTAACATTAACAACTCAGGAAATAACAGATGTTGGCGAGGATGTGGAGAAACAGGAACCCTCTTACACTATTGGTGGGAATGCAAACTGGTGCCGCCACTCTGGAAAACAGTGTGGAGGTTTCTCAAAAAACTAAAAATAGAACTACCCTATGACCCAGCCATTGCACTACTAGGTATCTATCCAAGGGATACAGGTGTGCTGTTTCAAAAGGGCCCAATGTTTTTCAATGCACCCCAATGTTTATAGCAGCGCTATCGACAATAGCCAAAGTATGGAAAGAGCCCAAATGTCCATCGATGGATGAATGGATAAAGAAGATGTGGTATATATATAATGGAGTATTACTCGGCAATCAAAAAGAATGAAATCTTGCCATTTGCAACTATGTGGATGGAACTAGAGGGTATCATGCTAAGAGAAATTAGTCAGAGAAAGACAAATATCATATGACTTCAGTCATATGTGGAATTTAAGATACAAAAGAGATGAACCTAAGGGCAGGAAAGGAAACATAATATAAAATCAGGGAAGAGGACAAAACATAAGAGACTCTTAAATATAGAAAACAGAGGGTTACTGGAGGGGTTGTGGGAGGGGGATGGGCTAAATGGGTGAGGGGCATTAAGGAATCTACTCCTGAAATCACTGTTGCACTAAATGCTACCTAACTTGGATGTAAATTAAAAAATAAATAAAATTTTAAAATAAATAAATAAGCCTTAACATGAAAAAATTATTCAACTTGTAACTGCCAGGTCACGGCCCACTGTCCACTGCAGACCTGCCGCCTAGCGCTGGCGCACCCCGTCAGCCTGCCCTGTCTCCCTCAGCCTCTCCACCCCTCACTTCCTCCCACAGCCCCGCAACTGCTGCCTGCCTGGACCCCTGGTTGCAGGATGACCGCACTAGAGAAAGCCCATGGCTCGGATCTGGGCAGAGACAGGCCCACTCCTCAGATCCGGACAGAGGGAAGCCCACCCCTCAGATCTGGGCAGGGAGAGGCCCACTCCTCGGATCTGGGCAGAGGGAGGCCCACCCCTCGGATCCGGGCAGGGAGAGGCCCACCCCCCAGACCAGGGCAGAGAGAGGCCCTCTGGTGATCACAGCCCCGGCACCTGCAGGGAGATGGACAGAAAGCCGGTGCAGGGCGGCAGCAGTGGGGGACTCAAGCGGCAGGCACAGGGAACACAGCGGAGAAGGTGGTCGCTCTGGAGAGCCAACCCCAGCTCCCAGCCAGAAGCTCGGACTCAGTGTGGGTGACCATCCCGCCGTCCCCACAGACGCCCTGACCCCTTGGGACAGTCCCATGGGGTCTGTGCCTTGTCCTCTCCATTTCAGAGACCAGGAGATGATCCCGAGGTGTTCAGTAACTTACCAGGGCCACCAACAGCTGCGCACTGCAGCTGCCTCCCACCCCCCAGGGCAGGGGGCCCAGGCTGCGTGTTTCACGAGAGGGCAGGACACTGACCCAGGAGACTAACTGGCCTTCTGGCTGGGAACCGACATCTCCTCTGGGGCTTGGAGGAGACCCTGCGGCCCACCCCCACCCCTCCACCACCTGCAGGCTGCAGGGGAGTGGCAACCGAGAACAGGGCTTTACCCACGGGCC